AAGTAGAGAAAAGTGAGTTTCATTTCATCTCCATGCTTTTCTATTTCTTTGCTGTAATAGCTGGTGAGGTGACAGAAGGCAGGGCCTCTGTTGGCCTGTATCCCTAAGTGACTCCCTGGAGCAGAGCCATCACTAATCCCCATGCTTCATGACCCCAGACCTCCACTGTTCATGTAGAGTAGTAGGTAGCATAAATCTGTGTTCAGCTTTGCCACAGAGATTTGGGCCTTAATTTGTGTCTGCAGCATAATCTAGTAAGTATGTTAGTCTGATGAAGGGCTCACTTTAGTTGCAGAGTTAGGACCAAGAATGAGTCTTTTAGCTCTAAATGAGTGGGCCTCTGTGCAAGAAGCACAGACTTGTGGGAATGGAGAAAATGAAAGTGAGCCACTTTGCCACCTCTAACCCTCCTAAGACCAATGAGAGGAAGGGGGAGCCTCCATAACCAAAGAGGGTAGCTAAGGCCACCATTTCTTACCATTTCAGGCAGGGTATTGAGCACCTGATAAGAGGCCAGCGGGCCCAGGTTCAGGCCAGGGAAATGCACCTATTCTGGGCAGGAATAGCTCATAGACTAGTCTCAGGCCGGCCACAGAGATGGCCATCAGGCCTCTCTTTGCAGTAGCCACAAACGAAATAGAACAGAGTAGTCAGGTGTTTAGTGGTTGGGTTGCCCAGGCACCAGTTACCCACAAGTCAGCTTTCTTTTCAGTGATGTATTTTTTAACTTCTCATGTTGATATAATTTCACACTAACACACACAGACACACACACGACTGGGAGAATAGTGGAAAGAACACCAATTTACCCTTTACTTAGATTCACTACGCCACTTAAAAAGGGTTCCTAAAACCAATTGTCTCTTTCATAGTAAACATAGTTTTACTGCCTCACTCAAACTTCAGTAGGAAACTTAAGTTTCATAGGCTAGTTTTATATTTAAGACTTGTAAAATATACGGAGTATCCTTAATATATAAAGAGTTGTTTCAAATCCATAAAGCAAGAGTTTCCCCTCTTGGAAAAATAGGCAAAGGCCATAAGTAGCCAGTTGGTCATATGAAGTAGAATCAACAAATAAAGCTATGAAAAAAATTCAACATTTCTAGTTATTAAATAAATAGAAGTCAAAACCTTATTTTCTACCTAGCAGACTGACAGAGACTTATGTGATTGATAATACTCCTGTTAGAGACACAGTACTTGCATTCCAGGTTTAACACAGCAACTTTATTTTTAAATTTTTTTAATGTCTTTTTATTTATTTTTGAGAGAGAGAGAGAGAGAGAGAAAGCATGAACAGGGGAGGGTCAGAGAATGAGGGAGGCACAGAATCTGAAACAGGCTCCAGACTCTGAGCTGGCTGTCAGCACAGAGCCCGATGTGGGGCTCGAACCCACGAACCATGAGATCATGGCCTGAGCCAAAGTCGGATGCTTAACTGACTGAGCCACCCAGGTACCCCACAATTTTAATCCTAGGAATTTATCTGCGGGCAACAGGCAAATAAATATCCCTGATTGTCCCCCAAGCAGGAATGTATTCATCACAACATTGACTTATTAGAGAGAATGCCACAACATAGGGACTTAGGCTAAATGCACAATTTTTCTTACAAAGCACTAACACCAACTGCATAGCACTTCCTGAACACCAGGCTCTTATCTTAACGCTTTACATGTGTTAGCTCATCTAATCCTCCCAAAAGATAGGTCCTACAATTACCAGCAGCATTTGACTGAAGTACAGAGAGGCTCCCTCACTCAGCCTCCATCTTGAAGCTGTACATGGGGCGCTAACACACGCCCAGGCAGTCTGGCTCCAGACTCTGACCTCTTGGACAAACCGGATCCAGCCTCTCATAAGATATGTCAGCCTTTCTCTGCAGCCATTTAAATGACAAAATAGCTTTCTATTCAGTGTCATGGAAAAATGTGTCATAAGATATGAATGAGAAAAGCCGATTATGAAACCTGATACACAGTGTGAACCCATGTTTTAAAAAGGAATTACGTATACGCTTATATAAGAATGTATAAAACCTATTCCTCAGTCAAAAGATTAGCAGTGTTAGGACTGGGGACGGTGTTGCTTCTTTTTGTTCCTCTTTATTTCCTAAGTTTGCTGCAATGCTGGTGTGATTCTTGTAGTGTAACATCTTCCATGACTTCCCCCACCGCAGTCCTGCGGTCTCCTCTCCTGTTCGATGGGTATTGGTGCCGTGGCTACTCCCTAATAAACATGCTAAGGTCCATCTCGGGCTCAGCTTCCCAGAGAACCCAGCCTCGGGGGGGCTAGTGCCGGGAGAGGCCTGAGAAAGCAGGGGAAGAATGATGTTTGGAAGCTGGGTCGCTCCCCTCTCTGCCCACAGTGAGGACCCATCACTGGAGGTCGCTGGAGCACAGAATGCTCCCTGATCCAACAATTATGACCTCCCCCGTGATGAATTAGGATCGTGCTGAGGCGGAAGGGGGTGCAATAGCCAGTGCTCTGTGTTTGGTGTCAGAAAAGTATCGGGAAAGAGAAAGCTTGAGGACAGAGAGAGGGAGTGCCTGACACTACACTCTGTTGAAGTTCTACAAAAAGAATACAGCTCAACAGAAAGCAGAGAGCGATGACCAGCCCATTGAGAGCCAAGTGACAAAGCCAGAGGCTCTCCATGAAGGCACACAAAGAGGCTTTGCTCGCCTGCAGAAGGGGAACAGGGAGTGTGGAGACCCAGGCCCTCACAATAAGTGTAGCCCCAAACTCCAGTGGAAGTGAAAACCCTAGTCAAGTCAGAGTTGTTATGCCCAAGTCCAAAATCTGATTGGAGAAAATGAATGATGAGATGTAATGTCTGGGCCGATTTCTTCCAAGCTTTCAAATTAATTTCCAGATTCCTCTAAACCCTCTGCACCTGAATAAATGAACCACCTCTCGGGGCGCCTGGATGGCTTAGTCGGTTAAGCGTCCGACTTTCGCTTAGGTCGNTTAAGAACCTCCGAAATGGCCAGCCCATTCCCCAATATCCAATCATATCTCCCCTTCTCCTGGAAAAGCTCATGATTTGGGGCCAATGAATATAGACTGGAGAGCTCAGAGCTGTCAGAAATGCAGAACATCAGGGGCACCTGGGTGGCTTAGTCGGTTAAGCGTCCGACTTTCGCTTAGGTCATGATCTCGCGGTTCGTGGGTTTGACCCCTGCGTCGGGCGCTGTGCTGACTGCCAGCTCAGAGCCTGGAGCCTATTTCAGAGTCTGTATCTCCCTCTCTCTCTGACCCTCCCCTGCTCACGCTGTCTCTCTCTCTCTCCTAGAAAAAAAAAAAAAATGAACCACCTCTCTCATTAAGAGCTGCCACCACTCCCTTGCTTAGAGACATTTTGGCCAAAATGTGGAGCATTTGATTTGGGGTTCAGAACTCAGTCTCCGAATCATCAGATGGTAGACTCAGCGTTAGTCAAAGCACGTGATCAGGGGCTAACATTGCCCACTCCCCAGACCCAAAGTGTACAAAGGGTTCAGGTTGTGGGTACTTTCTTCCATTGCTTTTTTTCCTCCATTTATTTAAAAAGTCTTTAATCCCATCATTAAGATATATATAACCTCTAAAAACATTTTTTTTTCTTTTTCAGAAAACAATTTGGTATGTAACCTTCTGGACTTTTTTCAAGGCTATGCAAGCTGTTTAGTAACCTATATTTTTTAAGATTTAATTTTAGATTTACAGAAACCTTGAGAAAATAGCACAGAAGTCTCCCCTATACACTTACCCAGTTTTCCCTATTATTAACATCTTACATTTGTAAGGCACATTTATTATAATTAATAAGCCAATATCTGTACATTATTATTAACTAAAGTTCATGTTTTATTCAGGTCTCCTTAGTTTTTCCCTAATGCCTTTTCTTAATTCCAGAATCCCATCTTCCTCACCACATTAGAGTCAGGTGCCATTATCCTTAGACTCTGCTTGGCTGTTTCTTAGACTTTCCTTGTTTTTGATGACCTTGACAGTTTTGAGGAGTACTGAGCAGGTATATCATAGGATGCTTCTCTATTGAAATTTGTCTGATTTTTTTTTTTTTTCATAAGACTGGGGTTATGGGGTTTCCTTGGCTCTTTTTTTTTAATCCTATTTTGGATAACTTTGAAAATGGTCCCAATTAGTGACTGAAAAGAGAGTTCTCTCTGATCTCTGGAAAATCTCAGTTTCTTGCTGCTTTGGTGGGTTGAGCTAATGTTCAACTTCTGAGAGTCAGAAATAGTCGAAGGAAACGCCTCAGAATATTTGCATTTAAAAAAGACCTACTCTTGGCATAGTCGAACCTATAAAGCAACTTTGCAATGAGCATGACCTTTTTTTTTTAATGCAATCAGCATTTGTTGGAGAGATACCAATTGCCCCATTGCAAGGGCACATATGTCCTATTTCAGCTCAACCAAGATATTTTGCTAATCACTTTAGGATCCTTACACTTTAATAAAATACCAAGGAGCAATTAGTTTTTGTGAAGGTAATTGGCACTAAAATATTACTTGTGCTTGAGGTGTCTTTTTTCTTTCAATATACAAAAGCAGAATCACATGATGGAGAAGGCAAATTTGTGCATGCTTAATTGACTAACAATAGAAAAGCTGGCAGCTTCTCTTGATATACATTTGTGGCACTTTAGCTATCTTAAAAATACCTCAAGCCGAACAAGTGACAGGCAAATTTGAGGGGAAAGAAAGGTGGTTTGCTTTATGAAAAATAAGAGTTTTCTTTATACTGAGGCATAACTCACTGTAAAATAAGAAGATCAGTGATCAATTTGAGCAGTTTTGACAACTGTACACCCACTAGCCACTACCCCAAGCAAAATAAGGAACCTTTTCATCACCCCAGAAAGCTCCTTTGCACCCCTTTACAGTGAATTCACCCTTCCCGTCTGGTCAGGGAACTGCTTTCTGGTTTTCATTACGGATTTGTTTTGCGTATTCTTAGACATCACACAAATGGAATCCAACTGTCTGTAATCATTTGTGTCCAGCTTCTTTCATTTAACATCCTGTTTTGAAGTTGACTAGCCATAACAGCAACTCAATGCCTAGCTCAAGGGAGATCAAAGCCCCTCGGCTCTGGGTTAGGCAAGCCCGTTAGTAGTAGTTATTCCTCCGGGACAAGGGACACTGGTGATCTAGGACATCTTCAGGAGAAGCGTCTGGGGTCCGTGAGTAACAGCTGAGAGAATTCCTGAGAAAGAATAGAGAAGAAAATGAGGGTCAAGAAAATGGTCACACAATATTAGAGGGCTGTCATCTGAAAGAGGAAATAGATTGTGTGTGTGGTTCCAGAATTAGAACTTGTGGGTGGAAATTACTGGGAGGCACTCTTGAGCTCTGTATAAAGAGGAACATCTTTCAACAACAGGTCATTGGGGCACCTTGAATAGTCATTGAATGTCTCATCATGGCAGCTGCTCAAAAAGAAGGTAATGGCTGTATATCATGGATGCTGTTAACGGAATTCCCCCATGAGGTGGGAGAGGACATCTTCCTATGTCTTGTGGTTTCTTATTTAGACAAAGCTGGGCTTTACCTCTACTTTCTAGTTGGTCCGTGTGGTTTGTTATAGTGTGTACTGCACACTGGCAACAAGATCACATGGTTTTCACTCCAAGTATCTCAGAACTAGCTGTTGGCACAAAGACTAAGCCCAAGTATTCAGGATCCAGGGTGGATTGTGTTCTTATTTTCAAAGCATTCTCTACAACAAAGAGTCCTTCCCTGCCCTTGGTCCCCAAGGACCCTGCTGAATAACCACAGGCAGTATGAGGTCTTTATCCTAACAAACATGAGCACATCGTCCAAGAAGGCCAATGGTACCAAAGAGTTTGCCGTGTCCTCCTTCAAGGTCCCACGTGCAATTAAAATTAAAAACCAGAGCTCTGCAAATTTTTTGTGAGCTGCCCCCTCTGTGAGTTAGATAAATAGAGAAGAGGAAGTAACGAGAAGAGAGGCATCGTTTATCAGAGAAGGTGGCTGTCCTTCTGGTAGCTGAAAGGTCTCCTTAATCTGTCTACAACATCTGCACACACCCATCCTCCCTGATCGCCCAGCCTGAAGTTACCCAGAGTCCAGCCACCTGCCTTAGATCCTCGGATGCAGGCTCGATCCTGAACAACCGTCCTCAGAAGAGAACAGCCAGCAGAGGAAATAAGTGGTCATCACCCATCCTGCAGCCCCTGAGCTTACCTCTTATCACTGTCTACAAATCTGCTTTTACAAGCCCCTTAATTGTCCTCCTATTTTTCTACATCTGTCACATTGTTCTTTATGTTTTTCCTCTTGCGCCTACTTGTAAGCTCCAATCCCTCATTATCTGTGTCATGCCCGGAACTGCCTTCCTTGTTTCCAAAACCACCGTATCAGAGAAGCCATCCAGTGAGCCTCACCCCTTCCCTCCCTGACCCCACCTCCTGCAGTTTGTGAGCAGCCCGGGTGTGCCCTTGTGACCTCATTGAATGGAGTGCCTCCTCGCAAGCACAGCAAAGTCGCATTTACAGAGCCATAATACTGATTCAGCAAGAACCTCATTTATTTTTCAATCTAGACAGTTGACCCAATCATCTTTTGGGTTACAGCGGAAAGGCCTCCCACGCCGCAGCCCCAAGCTGTTCACTGAGAGTAGCCACTTCCAGTGCCTTGTTCCAAGGAGGTAGGTAAAAGGTGGCTCTCTCTGCCAAGAAAGATTCTGATTCTTGTAATGGCTCCTTCCTCCCACACTATTTGCATGAGGCTCTGCCCCAGCCACACCCCTCAGGAGAGCTAATAGGCAGGAAAAGGCTAAATAAGCATTCAGATAGGCATGAAAAGTAGCCAAAGCAACCTGGGCTTTCCAGGGCCCGATTCTGCTCTCAGAGACCATTAGAGCACTCAGGGAAAGGGGCTTCTCCAGTGCCTCCCTGTTAATGAGGGAAAGGAGCCCACATTTCCCAATTTTTGCATAACTAACCTTAGGCAAGGGGTTAAACGTGAATAAAGAAAGGAAATTGTATCAGCTGGAAGTGGGTGTAACACACACAGAGCTGGAATTGACTTGGCCTGTGACTATATGTATGACCTTGACTTGCTGAAGCCATTTTCTCATCTATGAAATGGGGTATTAGTCCCTCTTACAGCCCTTGCGAAGGACAGAAGGGACACGATGCACACAGATGCCTAACTGCTTGCTGACATCCACTAGGTGAAGATTTCTTTTGTTGTAATTTGGCCAGCCTCTGGCATTCATTTCAGGGTTAATGTCACCCCAAAACATTACAAAAGTTGTCTCACACATTGGAAATCTGAAGCCGCATGCAACACTAAAATCTGCTCCTAAAAGTGAATGTTTATCTTACGTTATTTTGCTAGATTGTCTGAGCTAGAATCAAACAAAGTTAGAGGAGGTTTTTCAAAGCATTTTGTGGCTCTTAACTGCTGTTGGAAACATCTGGGGCTTGTTTTTCACCTTTGAAGATGCTCTTGCCTTGTAATTTTACATCTTACAAGGCATCAGAAACATTGACAGTTTGGCTAGAGATAACAAGCATGAAAAAAAACCCTATCCTGATTGAACAGTACCTGGATGGAAACTTCTCCTCCCTGAGAATCTCTTACTTTAATTTTGAAATATATTTGTAGAGTGTAAAGGCCCTGTCAGCAATGTGAGGGAATGGCCAAGAGAGAGGGAAACAAAAACAACTGCACTTTGGTAGGAAGTGGGAACTAGTGAGAGTCAGAGGGGTCTATGGCAATCAGCCTTCGGGTGGGGAGCGTGGGCCCAGAGCCTGGCCTGGGACGTGAGGCATCCAGGCTGTTTGTTGGCTGAGCCATCACCCAGGTGGGAGGCACGGGCTAAAGACCTAGCATGCCTCAGTCAAGGTCGAGTAGATGGGCCTGCTCTCCCATAACCCCTTCCCCAATAAGCACACGGTATACCTTCTACCTTCATGTCCCCAAGCTGTAGACAGTCCCTCTATGCCTTTCCCTTTAAAGCTGACTTAGTGCTCTTTATATATGACTTAGTGCTTTAAAACCTGATTTCGCTTCTAAAAGACATGCTGTCAGGGATAAAACACCCAAAGGAATCTGCCCCAGCTCTGCACCACGCCGCCATCCCTCCCCACTCCGGATGGTTCTAGATGCAAACGTTTACATTCTGGGCTCTCAGATATGTGCCTGTTGTGCCTTGCAAAGCTAATGTGCTCCACATCCCCTCTGTGCTTCATGCCTCAGGAGGCCCTGCTCTCCCCTCAGAGGGACCCTCTGTGTGTGCGCCCTCCATCAGAGGGCTGTTTGCATTGTCTCTTGGCATCCTGCATCCATGATCACTTTTTAACCCCAACCCTGAGAAGCGTGTACTATTATCTTAATGTTAGGGGGACAAAACAGAGACCTAGAGAGATTACTCTCTCAGTGCAGACACAGAATTCTACCTAGGTTGGTCTCCTACTAATGTTGCCCATTCTACAATAATTTCTCCCTAAACTAAATCCACAATTTTAAAAAATTATTTTCAGGGCGCCTGGGTGGCTCAGTCAGTTAAGCGTCCATCTTTGGCTCCGGTCGTGATCTCGTCGTATTTCAGTTCAAGGCCAGCCTGCCTCGGATTCTGTGTATCCTTCTGTCTCTGCCCCTCCCCCAATCATACTCCGTTCTCTATCTCAAAAATAAAACACTAGAAAAAATTTTTTAAATTATTTTCTATCTTAAGAAAATAGAGACCATGGACTTATTTTTAAAGCAATGCAATGACTTCTTGGCTGCCTATCCAAAAATCTATTGACATCTTCCTTCTTCCCACTAAAACCCCAACTTAATTTTCTATTCTGCATGGCTCATGTCTCTGGGGGAAACTGCTCCCACCCTCTTGTACACCATAGGACAGACCAATAGGAATAATCCAATTCCTCTTCTTTGTGACTGTTTCAGAAGTGGGCATGTGACCCCACTCTGGCCATTAAGACTTGAAGAGAGATGCGCCAGGGATCTTCTGAAAACTTTCTTGCTCTTAAGAAAGAACCACAGGGACGCCTGGGTGGCTCAGTCAGTTAAGCATCTGACTTCAGCTCAGGTCATGATCTCACGGTTCGTGGGTTCAAGCCCCACACCAGGCTCTGTGCTGACATTTCAGAGCCTAGAGCCTGCGTCTTTCTCTCTGCCTCTTCACGATTCGTGCTCTGGCTCTCCCTGGCTCTCAAGAATAAACAAACATTTTTTAAAAAGAAAAAGAAAGGAAAGCACCACAGAGAGGGACTCTCTCACTCAGTGAAAATGAATAAGGAAGCAAACAGCCACACGTGCTACTGCCAGCCATCCTGCCGTAAGAAAAGGAGTTAGAACAAAGCCAAGACTGTCACAGAAGAGAGACAAGAATAATGAACATCACTAAAGTACTGGATGAACAAACCCTGAAGGCATCCCTCCACCCTTGGACTTCCTGCCTAATAAGCAAATACGTCTTCGTATGACATTGACAAATTTAAGTTTTCTGTTCTCCATAGCTAAACGCATCTTTTTTTTTCCTTCCAAGATTTCATTTAAATTCAAGTTAGTTAACATATAGTGTAGCATTGGTTTAAGAGTAGAATTCAGTGATTCAGCACTTACATATAACACCCAGTGCTCATCACAAGTGCCCTCCTTAATGCCCTTCATCCATTTAGCCCATCCCCCACTCACCTCCCTCCAGCAACTCTCAGTTTGTTCTGTATATTTAAGAGTCCTTTATGGTTTGCCTTTCTGTGTTTTTATCTTATTTTTCCTTCCCTTCCCCTATGTTCATCTGTTTTGTTTCTTAAATTCCACATATGAGGAAATCATATGGTATTTGCCTTTCTCTGACTGACTTATTTCGGTTAGCATAATACTCTCTAGCTCTCCAGCTCCATCCACATCATTGCAAATACAGTCGAAAGCATCTTTACTGATGCTGGTATCTGTCATGTCTCCTGCTTCCATGTAACTAGGCACTCACCATTCACATCTTGAGTGATGGTCAAGAGACACCACATAATCTTGAATCAACAAACAAAAGTTAGGTTTTGAACTTAACTTGGGGTGCCTGGAAGGCTCAGTCAGTTAAGTGTCCAACTTCAGCTCAAGTCATGATCTCCTGGTTCATAAGTTCAAGCTCCGTGTGGGGCTCTGTGCTGACAGCTCAGGGCCTAGAGCCTGCTTCTGTGTCTCCTTCTCTCTCTCCCCATCCCTTGTTCATGTTCACTCTCTTGTGCTCTCTTTCTCTCTCAAAAGTAAACAAACATTACAAAATTTTGAATGTGGCAAGTTTTGTGTGGTACACTAAAGATGGTGGCACATTCTTTGTCCTTTGGGAGGCTGTTGAGAGACAGACTCAGTTTCCCCTTCTCCTGAGTCTGGGTTGGCCATGTGACTTATTTTGACCAACAAAATGCAGTAGAGTATTATGGATAACTTTCAAGCCTGGGCCTTGGGAGATTGGCAGCTGCCATCATGCCATTTGAAACACTCTCTCTTAGGGCTGAGCCACCCTCTGATGACCATGCCATCAAGAAGTCCAAGCCAACCATAATAAGAGAGAGAGAGAGAGAGACAGAGACAGAGACAGAGACAGAGACAGAGAGAGATCGAGATCCTGTGGAGCAGCACTGAGGTGCCAGACATGTGGTAAAGCCTTTTCAAATACAGCCAAGCGAACCCCACCAGACACCACATAGATCTAAAGAAACACCCGGCGGAGCCCTACCAAATTCTTGACTCACAAATAAAATAGTTATTGTTTGAAGCCCCTGAGTTGTGTGGTGGTTTGTTACACAGCAATAGATTATTGAAACAAGAGGAAAATATAGAAACTTGTCTTTCACAAGCTTCAGTAATAGAAACCAAACATTTTCTGCTAAACCCTTGTGTAACCAGAAACTTCATTAGTCGGGACACTATTCTCCAAGTGCCTCAGCCAATGCTGGTTCTCAGAACGCGTGACCTTATAGTAGGATGTGGACACATAGTATGTGAAGGTCTGTGAGCAAGGACGGTGTTGCTCCACCTTGTGCCTCTTATCAAAGTTTTCAAGACACTGAAGAAAACACGTGGGAGAGAGTTATACAACCAAAGGGAGCCCACTTCCCTGGCCTCACAGAGCAGTCTCCATCTACGTACATATGCACACATGTCCCCGCAGTGTGAGTCCCGACCAATTCCTAGACACTGTGCACGGGCCGCAGGAGACAGCCATTGTTTAAGCATTTGTCCCATAAAAAGTCAGTAGAATTTGAATTAGCCACCAATTTCTTTTTAAACTGAGCTGACATTTGAGCTAAATTTATTTTAACTAGGGATTTATGACAGGAAAGGAATAGTTCTAATTAAATAAGTATTAGCCTCAAACAGTGTGAATAATGACCCATTGGAAGTTTCCTAGTCCCCTAATAGCTAATTAACAGCTCATAACTGGGTTCCCTTTGTGTCCCAAGGCAAGTGTGAAAAGGAGGCCTTAACTGATTAATGAGATCTACTGAAACCGGATTAAAAATGAAAATTGGCTTTAAGGACTCCAGACCTGCAAATCCACTCCCTGTGAAAAGAAGGCATCCTTTGCAATCGCTGTGGGAAAAGAGAGTGCTCAAGCAAAGGCATTGATCTGTTAACACTCTCCTTGTGACCCTTTCACAGTAGCCCGGATGGAGGACTGCTGTGAGGAAAATGGCCTCATCACTGTCAGGAGGTCTACCGGGTTTGAGCAGGAAAGCCAAACAGCCTTTTGTAAAGACTCCCTCTTCCTTTGCCGAGTTTATATTTCAGATAAATACAAGACATACAGACAGCAAATTAGAAGCCAGTAAATACCAATTTCCTTCTCTGTGATTCCGTATTGCAATGTGATAGAAAGTCTTCTGCCTCAGTCACAGCTGAAGACAAGCTCTTCGTCATTAAGGGAGATCGTGCTTGGCTTTCTTGAGGCAATAGTAAGACTGTACCGTTTCTCCTCCCACATAACACTTTCTCTGGCACTTACCAGAAAATGTTTGTGAATAGTCAGGCGTGGACTCTGGAAAAATACTGTATGCGTTTTCAGAAGCCCTTCTCTGCTAGAGAGAAGCGCCTCCCTGGGTAAGCCCTAGTCGGGCCCCCGCTTTTACCACCACCCTGTAGAAACTTTAAAACAGTACAGAGAGCCCATATTTATTTGCCCAATAAAATTCCATTCATGCATGGGAACCATGTTAAGTCAAGGTGGGGGGTGGGGGAAAGGGCTCCTGTGTCACCATGAAATGTAGACTCCTCTCCAAGCAGCCTGCCCACTCCCACCCCCCACATTTAAACTGCGGACATGACCTGAAGGTGAGCCGGAGCAAGCCCCCGGTTGTAAGGGTGCTGTTTTGGGGTTACCATACAGGAGTTGTAGGTCTTCATCACATGCCTAACCTGCAGGAGCAGGTGACACATATAAGACCGAGGAGAAACACCTTTAGAAGTTTATAAGTAAAATGTATGATCTACTGTGGTCAGGAAACGGAGTGCTTTCTGTTAACCTCATAGATTGCCATTGTTCAAAAACTTGGGATTGTTTTGCATTTAATTTAATCTTGATTCAATCACTTAAAAAAGGCATTGGAGACTCCACAGTGCTTTCAATCCTTTATAACAAACCTTATCAAAAGGTAAGAGCTAATCGGGGCGCCTGGGTGGCTTAGTCGGTTAAGCGTCCGACTTTCGCTTAGGTCATGATCTCGCGGTTCGTGGGTTCAAGCCCCGCGTCGGGCTCTGTGCTGACTGCCAGCTCAGAGCCTGGAGCCTGTTTCGGAGTCTGTGACTCCCTCTCTCTCTGACCCTCCCCTGCTCATGCTGCCTCTCTCTCTCTCCTAGAAATAAATGAAACATTAAAAAAAAAAAAAAAGGTAAGAGCTAATTAAGAGAGAGATTAAAAGTTTTGGGGGCACCTGCGTGGCTCAGGTGGTTGAGCATCCAATTCTTGATTTCAGCTCAGGTCATGATCGCAGGGTTATGGGATCCAGCCCCATGTTGGGCTCCGCACTGAGCGTGCAAACTCCGCACTGAGAGATTCTCTCTCTCTCTCTTTCTGTGCGTCTCTCCCTCTGCCCTTCTCCCCCTCTCACTCATGCTCTCTCTCACTCCTTCTCTTCTTCTCAAATTTAAAAAACAAACAAACCTTAGTATGCCTACCCTCCATCCCAGGAGCTTCCTAACTTCCAGTATCTTCAGTATCCTCCTCTCCATCTTACCTTGACAAGGAGAGAACCATGGCAGGATTAGAATCATTCTCCCTCTCCTCCAGGAATATCCACTCCAATCTGTGTGCCTCACTTTCTTCTACCCAGATCAAAGTATGGATCAGGAATCAAGGATCATCAGAACTTGTACTGGACAGACAGCACAAAAAACAAATTCATACCCCAAAAAATAAGGTGTGGAAAATACCTGGCCTTTATCTAATCTTTGCAAGACTTAATGCCAACCTATTTGGTTGACTACCAAGAAAGGTGTCAACTTTCAAGGGATGGTGAAGACCCTAGAAATCAGTTAATTAACACTCCCTCAAGGCGAACAAAAGTGCTCTCCTAGGCTGGAAAGAATCTCATTTTCTTCTGAAACTGTGACTTAGGACTGGCACTTCAAATTGTCAACAGTAATTTGGGGGGTGGGAATGTATCTCTTTAGTTACTTTAATCAGAAGCGTGTGCTGAGCACACTTTGGCGCTCTGTCTGCCTGAGTTTCTGTGGGAAGATAAGAAATTATGATCATGTCTGCCTTCAATTAACTGATGAGGTTAGGTAGGAAGTTAAGACCCGTAGAGATTACATCATAAAGGATACAAGCAAGTCCATACATAAAAAGTAATATTAGTGTGGTACATGAATAGAATAAGAACAATTGAAGAATGACCATCTCTTACCTTTTAGTTAAGGTCTTCAAGGATGAGGACATTTTACAATAGTGTGTTGAAGGAAGTGGTGGGTGAGGATTAACAGCAGAAAGGAGCAAGCCAGTAAATTCTACACAGGGATTGGCCAGAAAACTTGATAGAGTGAGAACATTTAAGAAGTGGATGGCTTTATAGAACATGAAATAAAGAGAAAATCAGAGTATTTAAAGTTCCAAAAGTAATGGAGAACAAAAACCAATAGCATTAGTATCCAAAACTGGAAAAGTCATAGGGAGTGGGGAGAGAGGGGGAATGATCTAATCCTTACCTTTCATAGAGAGAAGAAAATAAATATTGTCCAAAGTGAAGAAATCAAGAAACAAAACCATTAGGAATCAAATAAAAAGTGATGGTCATCATTTTGAATTTCGCATTACTGATCAATGTTTCACTGAATGTAGGTATTATTGCCTTGATGACTTAACGATGAGCAATCGTGTGCCCTGACGTTCTGAGTACTCTTAATGTTTTCACCATGTCTATGGTGACCTTCTCAATGTGCTAGGTATGGCGGGGAGGCGGGGGGAGAGACAGTAACTGCTTCAAAATTCAGTACCGAGTAAGAAAAAGAATCCTCAGGTGTTCTTTTTATATTATTCATGCTAAATAAGTCCCAATATAGGGAGCATTATGACTGATAGTATATTTTGAAGACTTTGCTCTTATTTTCCTATTAACAGCTATTGGTTGTGGCCAGATAGCAACATTGGGCACTTTCATTTAGAAGAAAATCAGCAGCATTTCTGGGGGACTTGGATATATTACCATTCAAAAATCCTTTGTCCTATTCACATAGGAAATCCAGAGTGAGCCAGAATTTTCCATTTTCTCCAGGTCTGTAAAAAGTTGATCTGATACTTGGTTTCTAATCATTTTCTTAGTTTCCTCCAGTATTATATTCCCAGAATACAGAATAGAATAGAATTAAATAAATAGAATCAGAGAACAAAATATAATAAATAGAATTTTGGCACTGAAGGGTTCATTTCAAGGGTTAACTGATCTACTTCCCTCACTTTTTAAAAAAATTTTCTTAATGTTTTTATTTATTTCTGAGAGAGAGAGACAGTGCAAGCAGGGGGGAGTCAGAGAGAGAGAAGGAGACACAGAATCTGAAACAGGCTCCAGACTCTGAGCTAGTTGTCGGCACAGAGCCCGACGCGGGGCTTGAACCAACAAACCACGAGATCATGACCTGAGCCACCCAGGCGCCCCATCTACTTCTCTCATTTTAAAGATGAGCAAACTGAGGCCTCTGTGACTCACTCATGATCATGAACAAATTAGTAAACCGACCTCTTTCTGGGGGCTTTTGATGCCTACAGTTCTTTTCCATGAGTCCCTTTCCCCACTACCCCAATGAAATCTTAGGAGAAAAAGTTTTTAAGAACAGTCAAAACTTACCTTCACAAGAAAGAGGTGAGTCACATACCAGAATTTCTCTCCCACCCATCACTTCTTATGCACTTCATCTTAGAGCATCACTTTTATTCTGTGAAGGAAAAACAGCCTCTGAGGGTCGGATATTCTTAATTCAGTCATTGTGGAAGGGGGAGGTGAAAAGGGAGCTCTGCGAAGATAATCACAATGAGAACAAAAGCTTTTCCAAATTATGCAATACATTATAATTATGCCATAAAATTGCTCTTCAGCTGGGAGTGTCAATGGAGAGCATTACAATTTTTAAATAGTTCTGTTCTTGATGGGAATTCACGAACATCTGAAATGTTCATGTGTGTGCATACGTATTTTGGGAAACCATGGGGCTATAAGTATTCATCCAGAGCTCTGGTATCCTTCCC